ATGGGGGCAACCAACTCACCTCGTTGATCATCTCAATCTCTCTGAAGGTCAGACGGTCCAGCCAGTCGACCTTCACCATGTGGCCCTGTCGATGGGCCTTTGTCAGCTAGATGGACAGAGAAAGACGAGAGGAAGAAAGAGGGTAGGGAAAATGAGAAAGAGAAAAAAGGTTTTAAACAAAAAAAAATATAGAGGTTGAGGTTCTATTGCAGCAGAACTGGTCACAGCATGGTGGCTGATGTGCAAACAGCTCGACCAATCATGCACAAATCCAGTGCCAGCAGCCAATCCAGCATCTCTGGTCACACTCGCAGCCAATCCACTCATCAGTCAGTGTGGGTGTCGGGAATGTAAGCACACATGTGGCCATGAACAGGAAGCCCACAACTCAGCTGGTTAGAATTAGTACTCAGTCTTTAATACAACATACGAACTGGTAGCAGCCTAGAAAAAAACTTGAGACGGATTAAGTCGACTGCACTCTGGATGAGTAAAAAAATGTGAATCAATGAGTCTGTTTTAGGAAATAAATGATTCAAACCCAATCAGATGTTAAAGTGCAATGATCTCCCTGACAGCATCCTCTAAATATTTAAAAAAGCTGCAACAAGTTGACAAAACATAATTTTCTTTTTTATCCACATAAAGAAAAACATGCACACACACTTACACAAACTGCACTAATGTATGGCAACAGCAGAAAACTTAAAAACCAATGTGTGTGATGCTTTCAGCCGCACACCTTTACAGACAAGTGTTCACACCAAAACCTGGATCAAAATGTATTTGTAAATGCACTAAATGGGTTTATACAACAAACTGGGTTTCCACATAGAACAATGCAAAGTGTTCAGGGATTTATTATAAGTTTATTTAATGTGAACTTCCCTGACACAGTCTGAATTGTTCTACTGTGAACATGAAAAGAAGATAGTGAAATTTATTTACAAATACGTTTGGACCAAGGTCTTCTTCTCACACACACACACACACACACACACACACACACACACACACACACACACACACAAAAAAAAAAAATCTGCATTGTCAACACTAACTCCGCTTGTACTCACATCACTGAGTACCTCCAGGTCAGGGCCCTGGAACAGATGATTTAGACACGACTTTGTATAGGAGGGTTTCTCTCTTTATCCAACACACAACTACCCCCCCCCCAATCCTTTCAGCCATTCAGTCCTTCCCTGTCCTTCCTCCTGCCCTACACCTTTACAGTTCCCCTCTCTCTCCAATCCTCAGCCCCATTCCCCTGTCCACACACATACAGTATAGTACCTTGGCGAGTCTGCCCATCTGGTCCTCTGTCAGGCTGCTGCTGGTGCGTCCTGGTGTGGTGGTGGGCTCCCCTCCATCCCCCTCCACACCCGGCCAAACCTTCAGGTCATGCATCCCTTGCCGGAACATACTACAGGCGGAGAGGAGAAGGTTTGAATCTGTGAGGTTAAGAAATATCTTGTCTAGCAAAACACAGACCTTCCTAACACCGTTTATTCTCTAGTGCGAGGTTAGTCTCACCCATATTTGCCAAACAGGGTGACGGTGGTTCCCCCGACGGGGACGGCTTTGCCGGGCCCATAGATGTCCCACACTGTGAGAGCAACCTGGGCACTTTGGGGGAGGTCTGGGTACTTGACGGGCAACCGCAGCCATTCGTTCCAGCTGCACAGGACAGCATGAGAGGGGATAGAGAGAGAGTATGGGACAGTGTAAGAAGAAGGTGATAAAGGTCTGAGGAGCTGAAATGTAACTTATTTGAAGCTTTTTTCCAGCTTTGAAGAAGGACACAGGGCATACTGAGAGGAAGAATTATTTTTGGTGGTGAAAATATTCTAAAGAAAGAGGTTTTAATGTGGGAAAAAGTGGCTTAATTTTATGTCACAAAGAGAGGAGACAGATGAACACTCACTTCCAACGTGTGCTGAACGCTTTGTACGAGGTGCGAACGGGCAGGGCGAGAGGTTTTCCTTCAGCAAACACCTGACAGGTGACGTAGAGGTCGGAGCAGTTCTCCTGGTAGAGGCCGGAGAACCGCAGCATCGGGTCTTTGAGCAGGGCTTTGTAACTCTTCTGCTCTCGTTTTCCTTCTAAGCTGCCTCTGGAAGAGGAGAGCAGAGACAAGGTAGGGAGGTGAGGAAGGGGGAGAAACAGGTTTGTATTCCTCTCACAAATAAGTAAAATTTGTGGGTTTTTATAGTATTTTCTTTTTTTCACTTTGACAGAATGGGTCGATTTTATTTTTATTTCTATTTTAATTCATAAAAGGATAAAGATTAGAGTCTGTGATAGTTGAGAAATGGGTGATTATAACAACTTATAAAACAGCTTCATGTGTACTGAGAACTTTCTGTTTGGCTTAATACTGTTTAATCTACTAATATGTAACACATGACTGGACAAATAAGTCCTCAATGTACATTATCAGAATCTACATTCCTTCTTTTCCTTTTGTCCTTAATGCAGATTGACCGCATGAATACAGATGATTAAGATGTCTTTTATTAAAACTGATGATTGCTGCGAGTCAGACGAGAGACTGAAGAAGAGCTGGACAAAGATCACATCGGCTTAATTAATTATAATACAATAATTAGACTCATGAGATTTGCACATGCTTTTGGTAAAGAGACAGACTGACTGACCCTCTGGTGAAGAAAGTAAACATCCAACATGTTTCTCAGCTTCATTCAAATGATTGGATTCAGTTTAGTTTGGAACAGGGATCATAATTAACTACCAATACAGCAATACAGAAACACTTATTTATTTATTTTGTAAAACTTTGTAAAGAAGAAGGTGTAATACTCAATTAATTCAAATCACTTACTTATAGTGAGACTTTCTAGATATGTATCCCAGTTGTGATAATTCATTTTATAACTAGTTATGATCACATTTGGGACACAACTTTTCTTCCAGCTGTATGTCTGACTGGAAATACAATTACAGATTATATTCACTGACGATTCATTTGTACATAATCACTCATTTTGTCTATAAAATGTCCATCACAAACCCCCAGAGCCTAAAGTGACATCTTCAACATGTTGTCAGCTGATGAAATACTGTAAATCATAAAGAACCAGCAAAACAATCTTCACTAACCACCTGTCTGTCCATTAAGCAGGAGATTAATTGACAAACTATTTCAGTACAAGGTCAAAACAAATCTTTAAACACACATTTCAACACATCTCTCTGGGAGTTAGAGACATATATGTGACATTTAGACACGATTTAAAGCTTAATGCAGACATGTTAATGTTAAGAGAGAGAGAGAGAGAGAGAGAGAGAGAGAGAGAGAGAGAGAGAGAGAGAGACAAACATAGGAAGCATCCTGTCAAGTCACAAGATAGATTAGTTACACCGCTCGACTGAAAGCGACGCGTTCAAGTACAAAACTCACATCTTAAGTTGAACGTTGATGTCCAGGTCACAGCTGTAGGCATAGTTGAACTTATCAGTTTCCATCTTCCGACGGGGAAAACACTAAATCCTAACCAAAAACCGGACGACTTCAACATGAAATCCCGGACGGCTGTGTGAGACTCGGTGAGCGGTTGGGTTCGCGACAAGGCCTCGGCACCACGGCGGTCCTCGGGAAACCCCGTTTCAACTGCTCCTCACGCGGATAGCTGCGTTATAAGTTTAACACAAGTTTAAAAAGATCACTTTAAGTGGCTACGTTCACGGTAAAGGCATTATTTTAGCGGCTGTCGCACCGGGCATGATTTGATGTTTTTGATAGCTACACAACAACACAGCATCGGCCAACATCTACAGCCAAGGCCAGAGGAGTCGGTTGTCGATGCGGGAGGATCGCGGATGTTACGGGAGGGATTGAGGGAACTGAGCGGACGATCGCTGTATCGGGGATTGATTGGTCGAGTCTGACGGGACCAACGCGGAAGTAGAAAAGAGGCGGGGTTTACAGCATGCTTATTAAAGGGACAGTACCACCTGAGAGTGTAATGACTTTTACTGGCAATTATAAATTATATATATTATTATTATTATTATTATATATGATAATATTTATATAAATTATATATATTATTATTATATATATTTATATAAATATAATTATATATAAAATTATAATTATATAAATTATATTATTATTATTATATATTATTATATTTATATACATTATATATATTATTATTATTATTATATATATATTATTATTATATATATATTATTATTATATATATATTATTATATATTATTATATTTATATAAATTATATATATTATTATTATATTTATATTATTATAAATATAATTATATATAAAATTATATTTATATAAATTATATATTATTATTATTATATATTATTATATTTATATACATTATATATATTATTATTATTATTATATATGGTTATATTTATATAAATTATATATATTATTATATTTATATAAATTATATATATTATAATATATAATATATGATTATATTTATATAAATTTTATATATTATTATTATTATTATATATATATTATTATTATATATATATTATTATATATTATTATATTTATATAAATTATATATATTATTATTATATTTATATTATTATATTTATATAAATTATATATATTATTATTATTATATATGATTATATTTATATAAATTATATATATTATTATTATTATATATGATTATATTTATATAAATTATATATATATTATAATAATATATAATATATATGATTATATTTATATAAATTATATATATTATTATTATTATATATGATTATATTTATATAAATTATATATTATTATATATTTTATATATATTATGTTTATATAAATAATATTTTATTATAATATATAATACATATGATTATATTTATATAAATAATATATTATAATATATAATATATATGATTATATTTATATAAATTATATATTATTATTATATAAATATATATAAAATAATACTGATGCAGTGTTTTGTACTAATAGGAATAATATCTGTTTTAAAATCTAATAAAGCCATTAAAAATATATATATATTTTCACTTATATTTTCTATTATATTTTGTGAATATTCTTATTTTGTGATCCTTATTGTACTTCCACTTCTGCACTCTTTACATTCGCCCATGCTGCTGTGTCTGACTTGAATTTCTCCCACGAGGGATCAATAAAGGTACATCTTATCTTTCATCTTAACTTATCTTATTTGTAGAGCTTGTAAAGGAAGACTTTACACTTTCTGTTTACCAAATCAAGGTCCACTTACTGTTTTTCTCTGGAGCTTTCAACAATCAAACCCAATCATCAGCAGAGTGAGTTTGCTCAGTTGTAAGTCTTAAGGTACAGTTTGTCTAGATGGAAGATATGTATTTATTATTAAGAAGTCCCAACAAAGCAGTTCTCTTATTAAAGATTAAAGATCCCAAAATGATGACAGCCCTTTTAACTTTTATCAAATTAAAACGCACTTGTCACCAATTAAGTGCACGTCCGTGAAGGGCCACAGGCGTGTGACAGGAAAATCCTCATAGTTTGTTTTGATGAGTTCCTCCCTTTTCATCAGCGCTGACGACAACATGGTGTGAACTCATCGTCTGTGTATTGTACAGGGGAAGAGGTCAACACCACCCGAGTTGAACTTCTGGAAGAACATCTGCCATTAAAACATCTTCCATCCTTTGAATCAGCATCTGAATAACAACATCTGACTGATCCAAACCGACCTAAAACAGACTCTAACCATCTCTGCTATTAGGTGTTATTATTTATTGTTACCTGAATATTGATCATATTAATAACAGCAGTATTTGAACAACAAAAGGTCTTCATCAAAACAAAAGGCAGCTTGAGAGAGGAAAGTATGAGTCATATGAATGAAGAAGCATCCCTCACTGATGAGGGAGAACTATCAACACTCTCGGACTACTGTGGAGGTACCAGAGAAAAGGCACGTAAAACACCACGTTATGAGGCCCCAAGGCCTCCTGTGAAAGGCTTGAGAGGATTTTTCCTATGATCTCGCACCTCAAGCTGCATACAGCAAACAACTGGAAGAAGATGAGCTAATGTTCTGTTGGCCCAGACGGCGCTACATGGTCAGGTCAAATATTTTTTATGTTTTTCTGGGGATGAACTTGTGAGAGTTGACACAAAGATCACACAGAAAGGCACACATACAGTTTACTAGAGTCCAAGATAATGGATTTTTTGGGGCTGATGTTGGATACAACAACAACAACAGTTCTTGAAATTAAGGATATATTGACCAAATTATAATGTACAGATATGTACATTGGTACACTCTTGTGATAAAATGCTAGCAACATACTTTTATGTCTTTAAAGTTGAGCTTAAAGTTTCATTCTTGGCCTTGGAAAAAACACTTTTATTACAATGTACACCTACTTTTTCCCAGAGCTTTCAGCCAAATCTCATGTCCTTCATCAACAAATGAAGATGATGATGTGAGCTACTGCTGAACACCCCAGTAAAAACAAGCAACCTTGTGATCATCATCTTTTTTGGTTAACTTTATCCTTAAAGGAATAGTTCAATAGATCAATACCACTTTTACAGGAGGTAAAAAGCTTAGCTTAGCATAAAGATTGGAAACAGCTGGCCTGGCTCTCTGCAAAGCCAAAGTTAAACCAGTCTTCCATCCAGCATCTCTCTAAAGTTTGTTCATTAACAAGTTCTTTCTTGTTTGTTTAATCTGTAAAAAAAAAAAACTGTGTAAGTACCCTTTTCGAAACCTTCTACTAAAATGCTTTTTGTCCTGCAATATGTTTGTTTTTAATCTTTTAATTGTACTCATAAAAACCCCAAACTGACTGATAATACTGATCCTCTGATAGACTATAAAACATATAACTCAATATATAATTATAGGTCTTTATATGTTTCTGAGACACTGCATGTCCATCATTCCTTTAGATAGGAACCACGTGAGGTCACAGCCTGGAGTTAATCAGTAATATGAAGTGAATCCAGGGTAGACAGGGTCAGAGGTTAAAGCCCCTGCAACAGGTAAACATATAAATATACTGTACACAGGCTATTGTGTGTGAACAAACAGAACAGCTTCAGTGCTCCTTGTCATTTAGTCTCTAATTGGAAAGATGAAGATCTCCAGGTCAACCTAAATTTCCCACAGGCGTTCAACTGGGATCAGACCTGCTCAACGCATTTTATTCACAACATTTTCATACTCATCAACCATTCAGTGACTCCTTGTACCTTGTACGGAAGCATCTGTATATGATACGATTCTCCACTAATTTAATCAGTGTTTTCCTTTAATTTGTCTCCTGTGTGACTCAGTAACCATAGCGACACTGTATGTATATATATTAAGTTAAGTGATGTCATACAGCAGTATTTAGGCATGTGTTTTACATGTGCACTGGCCACATCTTCAGTTTCTGGACCTGGCTGATAAAACTATATGAGAGTTTGAATGGTGATGAATCATGTTTGATAATTCCATCCCTCTCCCTCTCTCTCTCTTCCTCCTACTCTCCTTGGACGTCACCTCTCTCTCTCTCTCTCTCTCCTGCCCTCCATCTCACCTCTCTCCTTCCCTTCCCTCTCTTAGTCATTGCATTGGATGTGTCATTGTTTCTATCACTTTGGAGGTTCATGCCCACTGAAGCGCAGCGAGGTGATCTCCACAGTGCCCAAAAACAGCGCCAAGATACAAGATTCCCCACCTCCTCATTCCCCAATGGATGGCACCGCTGACACCTTCTTCAGCCAGGCCTGTGGGCCACATGACAGTGCTGACCACACCTCCACGCCGCGGTTGTAAAGCCTCAGGATGTATAAATAAGGGAAGAAAGGGAGAAGAGGGACCAGAGGCCGACCAGACCAAATGAAGATGGAGCTCGCCGGGGTTCACTTTGTGCTCGCAGCTGCAGGGTTTCTTCTGTGGACCAGCGGTGGATCTGCTGCACCCATGGAGTGCCACTTCGACTCCAGAGGTGAGATCCTACGCTCTAAAATCTTATCTGGACATTAAAAATAAAACATATATATCTAATATATCTTTTTTTTTAAACTGTGTTGTGTTCCAGCCCTGTGTTCCTTTGAGGGGAGGCACTACTCACTGGGTGAAACCTGGATGGACAACGCCTGTATGCAGTGCACCTGTCTGCACCCTGTCGGCGTCGGTTGCTGCGAGACGTGAGTACACAAACAACCTGTATGGTTTGGTGTCCAGATGCCCACAGTTACTCTACTGCAGCTGGCTTCAGATGGACTGAACAAAGTATTAAAACTTACTTCATAGGAGTGGATCTAAATTCATGAGTCTTCTTGGGGAAATTTGTGTGTCTGTGTACTTGTACAGCTTAGATCTTTCTATCTTTATCTTTATTTATATTTGATAAAGATAAAGATAGATATGATTTTTTTGTGATTCTTATGCACCAATGCACCAAGACAAATTCCTTGTATGTGTAAAAACTTAATTGGCAATAAACCCAATGCTGATTCTGATTCAAATATTCATGTTTTTTACTTGACTAAAACTAGCAATATCACAAGTTAAATACAATCTGTTACAAGAACTGCATTCAGAATTAGTAAAATTAGAAAGTACTACTTGCAAAATGTACCTACAAATAGTAAAAGTATGGATGAACAGTGTTTGTGAGTGTTTCATTATATTATTGTGTTATTACTATTGCTGTAGGCTCACTGGACCTATATACTATACACACATAATATTATATCATATCTAATAATCATATTTTACAATACATGTCATAATTTGCAGTGTAACTAGTAACTATAAATAAGTAAAATAAGTGTACTGAAGCAAAAACTGCAACATTTCTTAAGTATAAAGTGTACCATGTACCTCAGACTCTATTTAAGCACAGTACTTGGATAAATGTACTCACTTTAAACCACTTGCATAAGGGCTCAAGATCAGTTTGTATGCTTTTATTCATGTCCTTTTCTTTAAATGTTGTTTGTTTTGGAAGATCAACACCACAGCCCGCAATCTCCAGGGATGGTTGTTGATTTTGTTACTGTGTGACACTGAACCAGTGAAAAGTTTACAGTCCACATCACAACGAATAAAGTGGAGATTGTAAGAAAAAGTGCTTTTCTAGCTGTAAGAGCACCTGAAAAACTCTTCTCCTTTACCTTGATAACCGTCCAGGGTTCATCGGCCGGTGGACTTCCCTGCGTGGTGCGAGGTGCGGGTAGAACCAGTGACCTGCCAAGTGTCCCTGGTCCAGACAGCCGACCCCCGCCTGCCCTGCTCTCCAGGTGAGGAGATCAAGGACCCCAGCCACGGATCGCTTCAGCTGCAGCACCAGCTCGAAGGATAGAAAACTGCTCAGACCAGCAACTATCTGCTCAATCTGTTCTGCCTGTGAAACCAATACTCACTATAGTTAAATATCAGTAACCACTTTATACACATACTGTAATAATATAAAGACTTTAACAGCATCTGAAACGTTTGGATTGTATCATCAATGAAGGAAATGTGAGTGAAATGTGTCTGTGAAAATATATTTAAGTAAAGATTTTCCAGCAGAGATTTTTTGAGCCCCAGATGATGTACCATGTAAACACATTTAGAACATTTAGGCAACAGTCTTCTTCAAATGAAACTTCATTTTCAGTATACGTTTGATATTAGTTGTTATAGTAGGTTGTTTGTCTGCTCGTGGCTAATTTGAGCTACTGTACATACTGAAAGAACTTATACAGACTGTTTGGGGAGTTCTTTTTGAAGGACATTTATATTGAGCCAAATGTAATTTCTTTAGTTAATCCAATAAAGACTTATTGTAAATATAAGCAAATATATACATACATTAATATATATAGCTATACCTGTTGAATTTGACCTGTTCTCTGCTGTAACTCATTTACCCTTCAAATAAAAAAAAAATCTTGTTTACGAAGAGAAAAAGGTTTTGTGAAGTAAAGAATGACTTCCTCACACGTAATCTATCAAATTTAAATCACACTTTTAATTATTTTTTCTCTTGTAGTATTTACATTTCAATTCAGCCGTTTCACAAGCTGCAAGGAAAAAAACAGTAAAAATATGAGTAAGAAACCGTTTCATAAATGTGGGTGAATAAAAGGAAATGAAATAAATATAGAACTGCACAGAAACCACAGAGAGAGTTGCACTTTGCAGTTAAGATGCACGGAAAAAATGCATATGAAAAGGCAAAACAAAGATTGCATACTTTAAATTTGGAATCCATCAGTGGCTCTGCATGTACAACAGAAACAACAACAAAAATACTGAAATTTGCACGTCTGTGCTAAAATTTCACATCTGGAAAGAAAAAAAAAGTGTCCCTCTCTCACACTCACACACAAAAATGCATAAAATGCATAAAACACACCCACCAACACCAACACCCACACACACACACACACACACACCCACACACACACACACACACACACACACACACACACACACACACACACACACACACACACACCCACACACCCACACACACACACACACACACACACACACACACACACACACACACACACACACACACACACACGATGATACCCTCAGAAACTCCTGATGATCTCGTGTTCAGAGTCTCACACATACAGCAGTCAAATGTTAATGCTGTTGGTCCCGGTAAAATGGGACATGTAGGACGCCAAGGCCGGGTTGGTGGGCAGGACTTTGATTGGCAGATCCCAGCTGAAGGTATCCACGTCAACGTGCTCCGCCCCGGTCCAAACTGTGACCTCTGATTGGTTCTGCAGAACTGTGGGCGGTTCCATCGGCTCTCGGGCGGTGACGAATTCAAAGTGCAGGCGCCACCTGAGGATCACTGTACAGGCAGAGTAACGAACAACAGTTTATTCTGCATATTGTGGAATTAGAAAGGAGCATCTGACACACACACAGTCACTAAAAGGCACTAATATTAGCCTAAATAATATCTTAAATATTGTAAATAAATACTAATTTCATACCTTTAAAAGACGAGTTCTTTCTGGAGATAAATTAGATGCCCGAGTCTTTGCAAGTTACATAATATTTAATGAAAAACAGAATACTTGGACAGGTAGCTTTCTTTCTTTATGAGTTCAGAGGGGCCCCACAGACATATAGTAAATTAAAATGTTAATTTAGCATAATTAAATATATGCTAAAGTAGCTACTTGCAGTTCCTGTTTGCAAAGCAGTCAGGGATGTACAGATAACTGTTTTACTTTGATACAAAAAAAAAATAAACTTAAAAACATGATTGTTAGGCAGGTTCTGGACTAATAAGAAGCTTTTTTCTAGGATTTATACGCAGATTTATGATTATTCACCAGAGATAACGATATCCTCGGGAAGTGTAAGTTGCACTTAATCTAAAAATATGTGTATCATGTATTTCATGTCTTGTGTATTAAAAAAAAAAATCACTGCTCCATAGTGCTACTAGTGGTCAAAATCTCTACAGGGTGCTTTCACTTGTAGTTAAACACATGTTAAGTTTTCACTTTATACAAGTAAAATATTCCATATTAATGCGTGACTGATTTCTATTAACATTTAGTCCAACAATGGCTCATGAAACATCCTACTAATGAAAGCCCTAACAACCAAAAAGAAAATACATTTAATTTCATGTTTGACCAAAAAAAACCCCAAACATAAAGTAATTCTGTCCCATTAGACCAGTGCCATTTTTAAATGCTAGCAGGCAAAAATGGTAAAAAGATATCTGAAATGTTGTGTCTGATGGTGACTGACTTGTGTCTGTGCTGAAACCCGGCGTGACGTTGAGGGGTATGGGGAGAGAGAAGTGACTGGAGGCTGTGTGGAGGCAGGACTCCATGTGTCGTCCGTGTCCGGTCACACCGACGGCCTGCCCTGGACGCCGCTGGTACTGCTGCTGGATCTCCTCCTCACTCTGAAGGCTTACTGAATACTGGAAATCATATACAAATATATAGAGAACATTATAATTTACACACTGATGAGATAGGAATTAATCATTTTGAACAAAAACTGAGAGTGCAGCATTGTTCAACAAACACACCTGCAAACAAGGAATGTCTCCCTCTGAGAAGTTGAATGTGCCGATGATGTCCTCCCCGAGTCTGTAAACAGTCTTGAAGATGCAGAATTTTGCCACTTTCCCACGCATATTGGTGATATTAAACATGTCTGGACACAAAAATAAAAAAATAAACACATGTCAAATGTGGACACAAACAAAAAACAGGAAAGTACCATTCAGAAAAGAAGATTAAAAGTAGGGATATCGAGCAGTTACTGAACTACTATTTTATTTCTTGCTACAAATGTAATCTCCTTCTGTGGATGACAGATTTTTACAGTTTCACATAATAATATGACAATAAAAACAACAATAAAAGGCTTTGTGTTTAAAAAACAGTGCTTCAAACTATAACAAAGACTCACGGGGGCAGCGTCTTGAGGTGGTGATCATCAGCATGTCCAGTGCTCTCTCCAGCGGCCGAGCATCCCTGCGGCTCGCTTCCTCTTCCTCCAGGAATGGGTTGGAGGGGGAGACCTCCTCATCCTGGGGAAACGGAGGCTCTGGCATACCTACAGGGTAGATGGAAAGATGTCAACATTCAAGATTTCACAGTGTAACAGAAGTAGATTTTCTACCAGTATTCATCTGGTTGTTGCTGTAGTTTTATTCTGTTCTTCACCAAAAAACGACGTTAAAGCAGAAATAAACATTTCAAAGTGACATACCTCATTAGCACTGGAAGATGCGCAGTGCCAAATGAAAGGAACTGAAATAAATAGTAGTCAAAATCTCCATCTCACCTTGCAGAACCAGCACTCTGAAGGGAACTCTGAGCAGTTTGATGGGAGAGTTGACTCTCTGGCAGCCGATGGTCAGTTTGTAGACGTACTTCACTGCCTGACCACGGAAACTCGGAGGACCGTCTATGGGTACGATCTCACTGTATGAATCTGTGTGAGAGTGAGTCAGACAGTTTGAATCACACACACAGAAATATGACCACCGGGAAATTTCTATAATGTAAAAGTGTTGTCATTTAAAAAAGCACCACGGTTTTCATTTCTCCTTTAAAAGATATTTTTTCATAGTTTTATGACACTTATTGAAATAGTAGATTTCACTTCTCATTTTTATGGATCATAACCTTTTTTTCTTTCGTTCTTTTTTTTTTAAACACATGTACACACATACAGGTTTTGCTCTCCCCGGGATCCAGGCGCAGGTCACAGAATAATATCTTAGGTGGTGTGTCCAGCACACATTGCCCTCGCTCTCCTGTAGAAGAAAAGAATCAGTGTTGAGGTGATTCGACACATTACATATTTACACATACAGGTCCTCTTAAATCTTTGTTTGAAGACTAGTTAGTTTAATGGGGTTCAGTTTGCAGCAACCCCTGTTTGTTCATTTAAAACACAACACAAACTTACATTTATTTTTATGAATGTTTAATAGAGCAGATAATGATTTTGATTTCTGCTTTTCTTCCCCCCACTAACCTCTGCTTGGAATAAGAACTGTGTCGCTCTCAGCCTGGACGTCCTGTTTGTTGCCCTGGGCCGGCAGGGCCACTCTGCTCTCACTGGCATGAAACTGGCAGTGGATCTGGGCACTGGCCCATGCCAGCATCTCACTGGGACACAGGCAGAAAACAAAGGTTACACAAGGGCATTTGCAGAGTGATTAGTTAAATGATTGATTTAAGTGTCTTGCATTACATGGTCCCAGTTCATATGGGGTTACAATACACTAGACAACAACCAAGATGAAAAAATAATGATGTACAGATCCACAAATTAAAAAATAGAAACATTTAAAAATATCTGATATACATGGTAGCAGTCTGTTATGAGCCAACCTATGTAGATTATATTTAATATGTGGTTTTATGTAGTAATCTTTGTTGATTCTGATGTACTTTCTAACTTGGCTTATTTAAGATAACTCCCACTTCCATTTCAAACAACTAGCTTTCTCTGTGAACTACCCAGATTGTGGCCTCGACCTATCTATGTTCAAGTCTACGATCAGTGAAGAGGTGAAAGGAGTCACAGGAGTTAAATCCTACCTGCTGGCAGAGGTGGAGAGGTGGGACATCGGGTTGGTGAATGTTATGAGACACTCCATGAGCTCCCCGGCCAGAAACACGGGGCCTCGGGCCATGGAGGCCACCACCTCGATCATCTGCAACCAACAACGTTACTACATCACAGATCCGATCGCTCACACGGAGAACAAAAACGCTTCCACGCGTTAATCCAGCGAGATAACACCGCAGTCGAGTATAAACACCCCGCTAATGTGAGTCAGACTGCGGACACAACTTCACTGGTTTGGTGCTGTTTGTTAATGGCTGCGGGTTTACAGGGGTCATTTAAACACGTACCTTGGCTTCAAACGATGCTGCGACAAGAAAACGACGCTGCCGTATCCCAAGGTGCACCTAAATGTAGTTCTTGAATGAAACAATACGAAAGTTGGCCGTCTTTCCAGGAGAACTAGGCATAGCTTATCTAGTTAGCATTCCGGCTACAAGTAAACAAGTCTATCTATACGTAGATATACCACGTCCACTGCTGCACGACCAATCACGAACCAAGGAAAACAAAACTCCTAAATAATACAAGCACATATCATAAATGTATATTTGCTTTGAGTGTTAATGCCCTGTTTAAAGTCTTAGTGGTATCTAAATGTAAATTAAACACGTTTTAAAGAATTAAAACAGGAGTTTAAAGTTCCAGGTAATGTTTTTTGGTCGGCCACTGAAAAGACGTCGTGTGGCACAGTTAACGAGAGGTGGACTGTTGCTATGGTAACTGGCATGAAGGCGAATAAATACCCTTTACATTTGAGCATTAACACCACACATTGTACACACTCGGGTTTATAACACTTGGGAATTTATCTAAAAAAATGCCGATGCCTGTCAAGTGAGAGACAAAATAATAAACCCTGTTGAATACCCCCCCCCTTCATAGTCCAAATGGTACAGGCTGCAGCGGCTTTGCTGACCTCTCTGCTTTAGGATCCCTGAGTCGCGTTTGGCAGGCACCATTTACCGCCAGGCTGCGTCCCGTAAAACTCCAACAACAACAACCAGCTACTGTTTGTTTTTTGTTTATTAAATCACGATTAGCGGCTTGGTTGAGGTTTGGATCTGCAAATCTTGTAAAAAAAAAAAAAAAAAATGGGCGGAATCCAATAGCAACCTGAGAGAAATAGTCGCCTGAGAGACAATGCGAGGGGGCGAGGCAACAAAGTAAAGCATTTTGCGTATTGAGCGCCGCGCTAGCCGAAGCTACAGCGCTCGGACAGAGGTCGGGTCGGAGCCGCAGCGGGATGACGCCGTCTCTCCGGTATTTAAAAGATAATAAACTCTTCTTACTGGCGACTTATTTTTTTTGCTAAATCCAGCTGTTATCCTGTGGCGTTAGAGCAAAACAAAAACCCATAACGTTACATTGTTTATCACGGTAATTTAATGGTATCAGTGTGCGGCTCTGCAGCTGAGCGCCGGTGGCTGAGATGTTGCTGATATCGGCCCTGCTGTTTGGTTGCACCGGGGGGTAAATGTGATCACTACTTCTTCGCTCTCTCCTGTTTTGGTCTTATTTTAGTTGCGCCGGCTGAATGACTTGAGTTCAGCATCCTCGACACTTCCTGTTGGTCTCAAGCTGTCATCCGTGCATCCAGCCACATCTGCTGACAGCAGACACATCCGGGCAACAGGGGGGCAACAGGGGGGTCTGCCCTCTCTGAACACAGGAATCCAGAGGGTGATGGTGAAACACTTCGCTGCATATAGTCCCCCAAGGATATGAGCATGTTGAGCTGTAGAGGCTAAATGCTCTTGTGGACAGTAGTAATAATATAATGGCCCTGGGACCTCCTACCTGAAGGAGCAATTATTCACCTATCTGCCCCGGTCCAGCAGGTATTCACAGCCTGTCTGTTGAGAACCGGTTTGCCACAGGAATGCCTCTTTGCAGCTTTCCGATTCACTTTCAGATCACTTTGCTCCGCGGTGAAGGCAGGATAAACTGACTCTTGTTGACAAAAGGTGGTGACACCTCCCTGTGAAGTGTTTTCTTCCTCGCGTTCACAACTACAAGCTCCCCTATCGTCAGGGTGTCCTGCAAAAATGACGGCAGAGTGGGGTGAGAAATCCTCAGCGGACCTCATGAGCAGGTATGTCTCCAAGGAAATGGGATACGGAGTGCCCAAGGAGGGTTGGCGTATCTGCCTGGCACATGAGTTCAAGGAGAAGAGAAAGCCCTTTCAAGCAAAAGATGTCTCGCTGTCCAACGTCTTGGAGCACATCGGCCTTGGAATCAGGTGAGACATTCATATTATTAACAACACTACAGATGCATTGTGTTTACATACATTAGACTGAGGTGAGATATTACTTTTTATGTCTCACTCATTACGAGGAGAGACGTTCAAAAGGCTGTGCACTCAGATCACACCCTAGAGATTTTCTCCTTTGTTGGCGTTTGTTAGACAGCAACCTTTCGCCTATACCATTAACCCCATGTGCATGTTTCCAAGGTGCAGCACCTTTCCAAGGTGGGGCACTAACCTATATTGTCATGTTTCCCAGCCCACAAACAGAGAGCATGTGAGGGGGGAGGAGGTTATCTTGCAATGTGCTCTGTCATTTTGTGACAGTCTATTCAAGTAGAGATTAGACAAAGTGTTCTCTATTAATGTTCTGTTGAATCAAAAGGGTGAGGTGAACTTAAATAAATATGTAGTTGACACTTATGTTAAGTGATTTATGAGCTCTGGTCCCAGGTAAGCCTCAAGTTCATGGTACCGTTTATTTGCTCCTGCATGACTTCAAAATCTCCCCAACAATAGAGGCAGAAATGTTATATGTCTGCTTGTAAAGCTGCCTGCGAACACAGCTTCAACCTCAACGTCTGTTGATCCCGTCGTGTTTATTTTCCCAACAACCTGCTGACATCCGAGATGCAGAGTAATACATTCTGCAGCTTTAGTGGATTGTCGAGGCGCAGAGCCAGCTACACTTTCTCTCACTTATCATTTCGGTCCCGAGAGCGTGGTTGGACTGAAGAGTGGCTGTGTGTCGGAGCGAGTGTGGTGTGACAGTCGGCTCTTTGGTAATCGGGACTGAATTGTTGGTGATAACTTGGTGTAGTTTGACTGACTAACTCCTTCAGATCCACACTATTACAGCTTCTATTCTCTAACATTGTCTCCCCGTCTTACAATGTACCAACGCCGCTCATAAAAGCTCAATGTAATTTCCTTTATAGTTGTGGGTAACCAACAGTGGGGCATGTTATTTCCTTGTTACATGACATACAGCTCCACTGAGAGTTCCCAGAAAAGTAACGGTTAGTGTTGAGCCATAAAATCTGTTGCAATGATGCTGTGAAACAAACGCTCTGCACTCTCAGCTAAGGCCACTGCAAATAACGAAAGCTTTTCCCCCGTTTCTCATCCAAGGTGTGTCTCTGTCAGCTCAATCGCCATGGCAACATTGGTTAATGATTGCTCAGATTATCATTTGTAATCATTAAACCCAGGTAGAGACACACATTGAGCTCTTCATCATCTGTGTCAGAGGATAAGGCAATGTAGGATTTACTATAATGCTAGAAAATGTGTTGCCTGTGGTGCTGGACAAGATGGCAGTTCAAACACTCACAGGTTAGATACAGGTTAGTCCGTGTTCACAGAGACGATCAGGGAGGGGACCATTGTTTGCATTCCAGCTGAGCTGCAGAACGTCAAAATTGTGACAATAGCGTTAACGTGCCACGGCCTCAAATAACTCCCTTCAACTGATCCCATTCATCTCCTCCCGTGTGGAGCTGTATTGGTGGAACATTATTGTTTATCTGGACAGAGCTTTCCTGTGAAGTTATTGTTTGCAGTACAGTCACGCACAGCAATTTCTGCAGTTGCATGGGATCGTCCTAACAGCGGGCGGAAAGCCCCTTTTGGTGTGTGAACAAAGTCATAATGCTGAGCAAAAAAAGCTACGTCCATCCCTGTTTTGACTATTGGTTATGTAGATCCTGTAGAGAGCTACATTATTATCCAGCTGCTATACCAGCCACCTTATTTGAAATAAAGACCATCTACCAGGTCCAAAATGTACTTCTTCTTCATGATAAACATAAAAAAATCTGCCAGGGAAAAATATATTTTATGGCCATAAAACTGCATTATTTGACTAAAAACAATGACCTAAAGTTTTGAGCCTTTCTGAACCTTTTGAACTTCATATTTTTACCAGCATCTCTGAGAACATGAACACCTCCATGACTTTGTTTTTTACATTTTTTATTTGGTGGTTTAATCCACTTGGCCGGTGACCCGAACTTACTTTCCCGCCAAACCAGAATTTACCTGCATCTGGGGCTCGGCAGGTGTTAAATCTGGACTCTGGCACCTCCACCAACACCATAAAAAAAGTTACGGAATAAAATGTAAATGTTAGGGAAAAATAACATGGCTGCTCTTTCACTCTGCTAATGCCAAATCTTTGATCTATCTGATGGTAATGTTTGGGTCGTCTTCTACACTCACAGTCGATCATGAGAGGAGAAGCTTCTTTGAACCGATAGTTGAACACCTGCTTAGCAATTTTCTGGGGAAACACCTGTCATATAAGCAGCAGAGAAATGGTGGTTGAAGCTTTCGTACGGAGGTTTTTGAAAAGCTTGTTTCCTCAAGTCGAGCAGTTCCATTACTCTTTTAATGTCAGCACAGATAAATCTGCCTTAGACCACAAACAATCATCATGATGCCTGGTGGTGTTACTAGAGGTTAGGGCTGCACGATCAGTCACAATATTATCAATATCGCACTATGGCTAAGTGTTATTTTTTGTTAAAGGTAAAATGTGTGACATAACAGCATTATAAGGAGGTACTGTAGGGCCGTAGAAGGGGCTGTGGCCAACAATTCCTGTTCTCCAGATGTAAGAAAACATGTTTGCTTGGTACAGACCCCCAAAAATGTCACTTAAATCATGATTTTTGTAATTCTTTTAACGTGAACATGAAATTTGTGATGTAAAAATGATCATTCCCTCTAATCACGAGTCATATTTTATTGATATATCTGTCAAAATAACACGCCGGTTGTTCAGTTGAAGGAATGAGGTACATATTTTTTGCTCGTTTCTTGAGGATCGTCAACTTTTTGTGATGGTTTGGGATTTTTGAGCATGTAACAGGAAAGAACTCTGAAACCAGAAACCGCAGCACCTGCAAAGTAAGTGCTTAGTCATTGGTGCTGTTCACCAACCTCAGCTTGCTGCAGATTATTCTGTGCAGCGGGACAGTGAGCACATTATTTGCATCCCACATTTTGCTGGGGCCCCCCTCGAGACTCTTAAAGGACCATTCAAAGTCCAGGAGCTTCACCTGGAGTAAAAGCTGTTGTGTGTTCAGAGTGTCGGCTGAAATGATGCAGGCTAAATGTAATTTGGGGCTTTATTAGCACTGCGGCCTGTTTTGTGCTGAACTAACTGCTACTGTCTACTGAACACCACAACTGAAAACAGCAGCTTTATACTGTATTCAGCATAATAGCAGAAAATCTACCATGCTGGTGATCAGAGCATAAACAGATTACTGACGTTAACTATGATCTTCTGAGCCTCCGACCTCGGGCAGGAGCTGTTTGAAACCCTTTGTAACGTAGCCTAATTAATATTTTACTAAGCTGGGCTGCATGTAGACACACATACACACACATACTCACTGATACTATCACTCAGATAAAGTAGAGCTGCCACTTTGTCTTCATTCCCTCTCGTCTCACTGGTGCTTCCTTCATGTAGTTGCACAATTACCTCCTTTCTCTCTGCCTCGGTGTGTGTGTGTATGTGAGAGGGACAGCGTGCAGATTGTTTGCTGTTGGTTCCAGCTTTGCTTCAGAGTGCTAAATCCTTGGAAACGACTATAGCTGCCTTCAAACAAGCAAGAAGAAAAAGCATGCTTAGTAATTACACATTAGAACTCATCAGAACTTTAAGAGCATCCCTATTCATAGCCCTCTAACACATGACTCTAGTTGGGCTGCATGCTGCCTTCACATGTCATGCTTGACTCTGTTTTAACTGAATATTTGTTGATTTTCTCACTTGTTTTCAGCCTTCTTGGTGCCCTTTCCCTCTTGTGTCCTTCCATTCATGATTTATATACTTTATATGTGTTTATTCAGGTATCTAAAATGGTGGTACAAGAAGACCCAGGTGGAAAAGAAAGCCCCGTTTATTGATATGTTTGGTGCACAACCCTTGCGTCAAATATATGGTGAGTTCAGGTCTATTTTATGGCAGAGCATGCTGTTTGTTTTTGATAGGGACAAGCAGTCTAACAGGGACACATAATTAAATAAAGCAAGTTTTTTTTAGTATTCTGCAGTGTGTATCAGTGTGTATATCTCACATGTTCTAAGATGAACACACACACAGACTTTAGTCTTAAATAGCTTTGGATTATCCATTAATCTGCTCGCCCCCTCACTGTTTCTCCAAGTTGACACTATACTCTAATTTGCAGGTGCTCCTCTCGGGGGCATTGGAGGAGGTACCATCACGAGAGGCTGGAGGGGGGAATTCTGCAGATGGCAACTTAACCCTGGGATGTACCACTACAAAACTGTCACAGCTAACCAGGTATATTGGATCCTAAATAGACTGAGATTTGTGTAAAAGCATAAGATATCATAAAGAATTGATTTTTTTCCCCGGCCCTTTTACGTCCAACAAATCCAACAAATACTGCAGCCTGTTAAGTCACTTCTAGATTTCTATGGGTCTGTTTTAGGTTTATCGTTCTCTTAATCCATAGAAACAGTCCCTATCACATTAGAGCCAACAACAGTCTACATTAAACCTACGACAAGCAGTTTTAACTGGTTATGAAACTACCGCTTTTATCCACAAGGGCCGCCAGAATCAACCCAAAAAAGTTCCTTGTTGCTGCTTTAATGGATCCATTATTTTCCCCAATCGCCTCAGTAGACTATAATGTAATGCATAGCGGGAAAAGGGTGTGACTCCTTTTGTAGCTGGAAAAACCTGCTCTCTTGCCGGAACTGTCTTTATCACTGCACTGCTGTCCACTTGAATGTAGTACCTGTAGTTGCATGCACATTCAAGTGTAAACATGTTCCCAGAGTTGTTGTCAGTCACTAAAAAAGTTAATAACAAATCTCTAATAATTACTAATATATTATCTCCTAACCTACACATAAACAAAGATTTAAGAAGACTGTTCCACATTACCTTTTCCTTCTTTCTCTTAGTTCACAGTGTGTTTGCGTCGCGGGGGGCAAACAGTTTACCAGCAGGTGCTGTCTGTAGAGCGTCCTCCCACATTACAAGGCTGGAACTGGGGCTATTGTGGAGAGTATGCCTTCTATCACGCCTTGTACCCCCGTGCCTGGACCGTCTACCACCTGCCGGGACAGAATGTTACCTTAACCTGCAGACAGATTTCCCCAGTCATCCCCCACGACTACCAGGTAACTGAGGCATCCCTGGATTTCACACAGTCCAACAGAGTTACAGTACTTTTGTCAAACCTTTTCAGATGCAGCATGCTTTGAATATCTGAAGGAGGATATGATAAGTAAAACTGTTTTTTGAAAATGGATAAGATTCCAGACAATCACATCTAGCTTATAGCAGGTACACCTGTATCTGTGTATATGCTGATTTGTCCACCAGATTTTTACACTGTAAAATATTCTGTTTAGTATGTATCTTGATTATAATTAATTAAAAATAAATGGGATCTTCGTCAAGATTGTTGTTAATGTTAAAAAGATTACTAAAATACATATATATTTTCTCCCAAATTGGTCATGCTATAGTTAAGATTTCTAATTATGATGAATGTCATGTCTTACCCCAAACAAGTCAATAGGAATTTGACCAAAGAATTCATAGAAAGTTGCTGAAAATCACATAAAGTAAATGTTGGAACCTGTGGACCAAGATAATTGTTTCACCTACTGTAACATAACAGCTAGTTTAAGCCAAGCAATCAGATGGGATATGTTCGAGTTACAGTTACAGTTATACAATTATACTGATAATCCATGTTTAAAAAGAGCATCCACAAAAAGACAAAAAGTTAAAATTGTTACAAAAATGTTCCTTCTTTGGGGATTATTTTTTATTTTTTTAATAACAAAATAAATAAATAAAAGTGTGTTTTTTGCAGTATCAAGTAGAAGCTAAATTAGTCATTTGGTTGTTCGGGCCCCTGATAGAGCACCTAATGGTTGTAACACTACAACAATGTATACAGTAAACATTAGAAACACTTGGTTGTGGTGAAAGACATATTTTAAATGGTGTATGCCGACATGATGGTCCACCACGTTTTTCCTTCCTCTCAGGACTCGAGTCTGCCAGTGGCAGTATTTGTGTGGGACATTGAGAACAAGAATGACTACGCTCTGGACGTCTCCATCATGTTCACTGTGGTCAATGGGTCGGGACACAAGGACGACAAGAACGGGGGACACTGGAATGAACCATTCCACTTGGAGAAGGAGGGGGAGGCGGTGTCTGGGGTCTTGCTACATCACTGCACTACAGTGAACCCTTACACTATGTGCATCGCAGCCCGAGAACAGGTTTGATTTATGAGTTTGATGATTTCAGTGGCTTCGAGGTTTTTGTAGTAGGTTGTAGCAGCACAAACAGTTCCCAAGGAATAAACAGGATTTGTAACAATAGCCACCGTTATCTGGAAGTGGATTTATAACAATCAGCTGGTTGTGAAATCTGTGTTAATGAGCCTGAGGTTTTAGATTTAACAAGAGCGTGTGTGTGTTTGTGTGCACATTTTAACAGCCTGACAGGGAGGTCAGTCACCAGACAGCGTTCAGTCCAAAGGGAACCTGCAGCGGCCTGTGGAGTGACCTCATCACTGACGGACGACTGGACTCTCCCACAGGTCGGTGCTTAGAAACACTGGCGGGATGAGAAAAATGTCTACAGTTACTTAACATGAAGCAGTAACATGAAAAAGAAGTAGAATAAAAGAAATGGATGCACTGTAAGAAGTTAAACAAGTAACAACTAGTAGATCAGTCAGTTGACCTACATCAGTGGGCTGGTGAATAAAGACATAAAGGCTTATGAGCAAGGGATAAACCAGTCCATGCTTTTGCCTTTTTTGTGCAGTGTGATAGAGATGACATATATGATATGCTATGCAAAAAATTCTCTTTATCTCTCTCGCTTACCTCTGCAGGATCCAGCCCTCCGACGCCTAAGGGAGAGAAGGTGGCGGCAGCGTTGGCTGTGGGCTGCTCAGTGTCGGCTCAGAGCCGCAACACCCTGGAGTTCTGCCTGTCCTGGGACATGCCCAAAATCACCTTCGGCTCGAGGGAGAGGGAACACATCAGGTACAAAAGGAAACGCTGCTTTTGTAGAAAACAAGCTGGAGATGTTTGTCACGACCACCACTGTTCTAATTTTGTTTGCTGTGGTTGTTTGGTTTGGTTCACTTTTGGCGTTGGGGACAATCAAAGGCAGTTTGGCTTCCACGCTCATTCCTTTCTTGCCTCGGTCTCAGATGCATTTGCATTCATCACAAATTGCAGCCCAACAATTTTCTTCAATGACTAAAAGAAAAACAGCCAAAGCACAACAGTGGCAGTTGACACCCAAACAAATACACTGTTTATGCCGTGTCCTATTTCAAAGCCTCAGGCCTAAATGAAAATTTTTGACCTCACGGTGAAATACTGAGGTTACAGACTTAAAATGTTAAATGAATCAAACGCCCTTGTGCTGCCATCACAAACTAGTGGCTTTTCTCTCTCCAGGAGGTACAGTCGTTACTTTGGGACCAAAGGGGATGCATCCCCCTCGCTCAGTCACTACGCCCTGACCCACTACAGACAGTGGGAGAAGAGCATTGAGGAGTGGCAACGACCCATACTACAGGACAGGTAGTCCACAGCTCTGAAAGCTCTGCAGCTTCAGTGAACACTAGTCTATCTCAAACAACGATGATAAATTATGATGACCACAATACCAATCAATAATGTAAACATACTGTTTTCCATCTGTGAATGCTTGGAATTGTTGGCTTATACATTCACTTCCCTGTTGCAGTTCTCTCCCCTCCTGGTATAAGTCAGCCCTGTTTAATGAGTTGTACTTTGTGGTGGACGGAGGGACGGTGTGGACGGAGCTACCAGAGGACGCTGATGTCAGCGGTGGTGTGCGCAGCGAAGACGGGGGGCTGCCAGCTCAGCCCGCTGTCGTCAAGGAGTACGGACGTTTTGCCTACCTAGAAGGTAAATGACAAGGAAAAAGGTGGCTAGGCATGGCATTTTAGAGCTGAAACACTAAATCCAGTAGTTGATTGACAGGAAATTAATCGGCCACTATTGTCATAATTCATGAATCACTTTTTCTGAACTTGAAACCCCAGTTCCAGCTTCTCCAATGAGTTTTGGATTGTTGGTCGAACAAAGCAAGACATTTGAAGACATCACATTGAACTCTGGGAAATTAAAATTGATTGATTGATTGATTGATTGATTAATGGAGAAAATAGTTGGCAGATCTATCTATAACGAAAATAATCATATTAAGGTCTAGAAACTTTCAGCAGCCTTCATTGACTGCTGTTCCCAACTAATTAATAATGTAAGATATATGATATAAATGTGAAGTGGAAGTGACGTGTAACAATAAACAAAATACTACGTACCAGTAAAAACAGCTAATTAGATTTCCTACCAGTTTGTTTGGTCCTTCATGTTAATATTTACTAAGCAAAACTCCTCTCACTCAAGTGTTATGGTTGCATGCCCTGTTTTCAGTTTTATACCACAACATTCATGTGATCAGAACTAAAAATAATATGACACTCATGCACTTATTTTTGGTGCTCACTTGTGAGAAACATTCAGGGTTGGCGAAAGTTCAATTGAAAAGAAAAGTCTGCCTACCGGTATATTAAATATTTGTTTTATGACTCACATTACTAAGCAATTGTTGTTTCCCAGGTCAGGAGTACAGAATGTACAACACATACGATGTGCACTTCTACGCTTCCTTTGCACTTATCATGCTGTGGCCCAAACTCGCCTTGAGTGTGCAATATGATATTGGTAAGTGAAGTCCTGTTATCCTGGTGTTTTATCTAAAGCATGCATATTTGATTAAAAGAAAGAAAGCAACACCAGGGCCAGGTTTTACAGCAGGAATCTCTTTTCAGCCGGCAGTGTGGTTCACGAGGACCCAACAGAGAGGATGCATCTGATGAGTGGGCGGTATTCTGCTGTTAAGGCCAAAAATGTGGTGCCTCACGACATAGGAGACCCAGGTAGGAGATCCTCAGTAACTACTCCTCTTCTCTGTAGGTTTCAGTTCATTTCTGTGCTTAATGAAAATCACCTTCCAGAGACTTGAAACTTGCTTGAAAACCAGCGATTTTTGAATTGTTTCTCAGTACATCATGATGACTCTGTCCCTAGATGATGAGCCATGGCAGAGGGTGAATGCCTACCTCATTCACGACACAGCAGACTGGAAGGACCTGAACCTGAAGTTTGTCCTGCAGGTCTACAGGGATTTTCATCTCACCCAGGACAGTCAGTACCTGCGGGACATGTGGCCTGTCTGCCAGGTATAACTGACCAATGTAGTCTTGATTGTACTGCGTTCAGGCCGTGTATCCCATCTGTAGTAGAAACACAAAACCTGGGTATACTAGATTATTTCTCACTCGGCTGTCGTATTCTGGTCGGTGTGTTAGGCGGTGATGGAGTCGGAGCTGAAATTCGACCTGGATGGAGATGGACTGATAGAGAACTCGGGATATGCTGATCAGACCTATGATGGTTGGACAGTGACTGGACCGAGGTGAGAGGATTTTTTGACATTGAAATTGCAGAAAAACACAGATGAGTGAAAGGCTATCTCTTAATCTCAGAACAAAGACCTCCCTCCTTATGTCCCAGTCTTTTCAGTTGTTGTGAGTTTAAGCTTTGCTCAGTGATCCCCCCCCGTCACTATCCAAACCTTACACCATTAAAATCTTCAAATTCTGTCAACACAGTAAGAACCTTGAAGCAATTGATATTTTCAAACCTCCCTATTTTGATTAAACTAGATCTAATCCTGAACAGGTCAGTTTTAATAAAGTGATCTCTCCCCAAAGAAAGAAACACTGTGTGATATTTGCATTCATGTCTGTATTGGATTGCAGGGGTAAGGGAGGGAGGGAGGGAGGGAGGGAAGGAAATGGAAATGGAAAAAAGCATGACTCGTGACAAAAAGCAGGAAAAAATGAGTCAACTAAAGCTGCAGCACTTCTCTAAATAATATGACCTGAGAGCCGAGGCTGCAGATGAAAGGCTTCCTTCATCCTGCAAGACAGTGGACTCAGCGGGCTCACAGTAAATTAAGCTCCAAAGCTGGGACATTAACTTGAGACTGCAAGATTCTGGACAAATCATTTTCAGAATACTGTTTAATTTGCTTATTTTGTGTTATTCAGTTAAGACTTGTAGATTCACCAACTAGGGATCTTAAGACACAATCTAACCAAGTGTCCATCCTTTTTAAATATTAAGTTTAGTTTAAGCTTGAAATGTATTTTTCCATGTCCTCAACCTCCAGTGTTACGTGATAACAACAAGGTTGCATTTGACTCAAATGTTACGTACGGTTTTTATGCTAATTATACTTGCGCCAGTGAGAAAAGTCACAAGTCAACCTGTTGTCTTTTTTGTTTATTTGTATTTTACAGTGCGTACTGTGGAGGGCTGTGGTTGGCGTCCCTGTGTGTGATGTGTAAGATGGCCAGACTGGTGGACAACGAGGAGACATACCAACGTTACAGAGACCTCTTGGACAGGGGCAGCGCTGCTTTTGACAAACTGCTGTGGAACGGTGAGTTTAAACACCCATTTGTTGTGTTCAGTATGTATATGTGAAGGGCTGCAAGCTGTCTCTACAGCTAAGTTGCCAGAGACTTAAAATGACTTCACTTTATTTTCTATTTTCCTTTCATGTTTAGGCAAGTACTATAACTATGACAGCAGTGGGAGAGACCTTTCTAATAGTGTCATGTCAGATCAGTGTGCTGGCCACTGGTTCCTGAGAGCGTCTGGGCTGGGAGAGGGAGAATACCAGGCAAGTTAAAACATGAGCCCACATCTTTGCACTGTAAGCCCTAAATCCCACAGGTTTTTTTTTTTTGTAGCAGTAAAAAATAAGGTACTATCCAAATACCGCAGGGTACCAGTGGGCCTTCAAAGGATGTGACAAGAATGATGAAATCTTTTAACTCTACTTTTTTCCTATATTGTACAAATGTAGTGACAAAATAGCTGAAAACGTCCATGTTAGGCCATGAACTGCTCTTTTTGTTCATGACCTAACACGTCTTCCTTTCCCAGTGCTAAGCTGCAAATTACACAAACATCACTAAATGTTTTCAGATTTTAACTTACATCAAAGCTTTGTGGTCTCAGCATCACTTCCTCTCTCTCCCCAGGCTTTTCCAAAAGAAAAAATCCAGAGCGCACTAAAATCTGTCTTTGACTTGAATGTAATGAGCTTCGCTGGAGGCCAGATGGGGGCAGTTAACGGCATGCGTCCTGAAGGAGTGCCCGACCGCTCCAGTGTCCAGTCAGATGAGGTCTGGATTGGGGTGGTGTATGGACTTGCAGCCACCATGATCCATGAAGTAAGTGTGTGTGTAAACAATAAGCTGTATCATACATTCTGTTGTAATTTTGGTGTCTGTGTTGTTACGGTTGAGATGGGGTGAGATCTGTGTTTCTTGCCACATCTGTTTATTATACTGTAAATGACTGAGTTTTTGTGTTGTCACATATGCAACTGGGGGTTAGGGTTAGCCAACATGATATGTAATAAAATTGTTGACTAAGTATACATCAGTATTAAGAAGTGCCAAGACTTCAAAAGCGCTTTTAAAGCTATAACATGTAACATTTCCCCATTAAAATGTCTATAAACACTAGATGTATGTTCTATATTTTGAGTTGTGTACTTACATTATCGCAAATGTTTCCAATAATGTTCCAACTCAGAGAAATCTGACATTTTATTCAGGTAACGGTGCATTTCATACGCGTCATATCCCTTTTGCACATGCGTTAGTGTTGTGGCTGCCTGCAAGAAAAAATAAATACATTTTTTATCCAGTTTTAAGCCACATTTTTAAGATATACTTTTAGATCTTTTAGTTTTTAACCATATATTTTAACCGGATGAAGGATTTTAGTCATTGGCTGTCTCAATCTTAAGTCATCAGACAAACCAACTGATAACTAATGTCAGCAGCAGCTTGTGCTGACAGTCCTTCTGAGATATTCTTTGTTTTTTTTTAAGGTGAAACTGATTTATTCAGTGTTTTACTTGCTACATACTGTTGTATGATTAAGAGGCTGTTGCATTTATTTGGAGGCCTAGTTTTGTTGTAGTTTTTCTATGGTTAAGAGTCCGAAAATACTTAAATAAATACTTATGTCACCGTGGTATGGATCATCTCACCTAGCTGTTGGCGAAAAAGCGAATAAACCTATTTACCAAAATGCAAGTAAAGAAATATTACACTTATGACTTTGTTTAATGTGACTGCACCAAAAGTAACTTACTGATAGCTGATAACAAGTATGGCTGATTGTGCTGACTGTGTGACATTGTGGCTGTCTTTCTTTTTCCTCAGGGTATGAAGGAGGAGGGTATGCGCACAGCGGAGGGTTGCTACCGGACTGTGTGGGAGAGGCTGGGCATGGCGTTCCAGACTCCTGAAGCCTACTGTGAGAAGGGCATCTACCGCTCTCTAGCATATATGAGGCCTCTGAGCGTCTGGGCCATGCAGCTAGCCCTGAACACCTCTGAGAAGGGTCAAACCACTTCAGCTCAGACTGGAGCCACGGACGGGGAGAAGGGACAGGATTTGAGACAAAATCAGAGCTAGGACCTGAGCCATCAGACTGGTGTGATTCGAGAGGTACAGCGAAATTCTTCTGAAAATGACCTCCAAATTCTCCTGCAGTCATCACCCTCATCTGCAGGGCTCCGTTTGATCGGTTACAGACCTTGAATTTGATTCTCTACTGTTTGATTTGCTTCAAATGTTTTGTAGTTTGAAGCTTGAGGTCTGAGAACTGTGACGGTTTATGCTTGACAAAGTCAGTAGCTACTGTAGATCATGATATTGTTAGTTTAGGAGTTTTTCAAGAGACTGCTGATGGTTCCTGAATTTTAGAAGCCGTGCAGTGTCGGGTGGAATCCAGGAAATGTCAAAATCGTAGCCAGTGTGTTTTACTAATTAAAAATTGACCTTGTGTTTCAGCAACATATTATCTATTTGCACGCATGTAAACACATGCAAGCACTACAGTTCAGTCATGTCAATAATCATGTTTGCATACTTTGAACAAGTTTATATACTAACAATTTGAGGGCTTATGTGGTTTATTATACCAGCCAGTAGTCATTATTGTCTTTAACATTTGAGTACAACAGAGGACCTGAGTCAATCAAGACACATCTGAATAATTTCTCAATCAGAAATATAAACAGAAAAATCTTCTTTTCTCACCACTTAAATTTGAATGCTGTACTAAGTGAAGTAATATTCGATGAGTAGTGTTGGAAATTAAGTGAAAAAATTATATATATATATTTTTTCTTTTAAAAAAACAAACATTTGGTGCCTTGTTGCATGTTGGCCTATATCTACAGTATATGTTTTATAAAATCGGGTACTCATGACAATCATGCTGAATAAATGAATAAATGAATAAATGACTGAATACGATAAAACAGCAGGTTTGTTGTGTTGTTATTTAACTGTATATTAAAACAAAATACGGTATGTTATGAAATACAGATAAGCTGATGATGAATATCAAACCTACATTAATGCTTTACTGTTAAGTCTTTAAGATTGATGCAATGATAATTGAATTCATACTTTGACAATCTACAGGGACATAAGAGGTTATTGAGGTTAAAGTAATAAGTTCAGCCTGGGCCTGCCTTTGTAGACTACATCCTTCAGAGGATATGGTCCCAGACAAACTTGTTGCTGTTGGATGTCACCCAGAGATCTGTCCCTCTGCCGTGGACAGCCAGCTTCCTTGTGATCTGGAATTGGACAATAGTGGGGTTTAAGATTATGCATTTCTTCTATTACAGCAAGTGTATGTAGATTTATTACACAGCACACATCATTAATCATTAACTGCATGTGTAATGTTATCACTGACAACAATAATGAGAGAGAATATATTACATACATGGAAATCTATTACACAGTCAGATTATTTATTACCTTTTTGAGTCCGTCGTTGAGATGGGACCAAATGTGGAGGTGATGGTGGCTTTAACTTGGTCCTGCCATACAAGGACAGCAGTCACCGACTGGTGGGGACGTTGATGGACTCCGGGGGCTCCTGGCAGACCACTGGGAAGAGGCTGGTCCACAAAGTGTGTGATATATTTTTTCAATTTGTCAGAGTTGTACATTGGGTCCTTGTTTCTCTAACCAAGTTTATTAATATACATGAAGTCATCTGGTTAGTTATGAAGAAAACGTCCCTGGGTGGGCTTGAACCACCAACCTTTCGGTTAACAGCCGAACGCGCTAACCAATTGCGCCACAGAGACATCTGTGTTACAGTATCAACAGGGTTAACTCAAAGCTTGCAGCCCAACCCATCTGTATTTACTACTACTTTTATGAGTTGAGTTGAATAATATGGTAGAAACTTATGACATTTTGATTTGACCTGATTGTTCCACAGAAACGACTGTGGTTTGCTGTTGAAGGGGTGTGGCCTTGATCTTGGGCTGGATAATATGGTAGACACTTTTTATCTCTTTTTTACTTCTCAATATATTCATTAAATGCTGAGATTATTTTCTGGTTATCTAGAAAAAAGTGATTTATGTAGATGCTCATGGTGTGTATTTTCTTGAATCTTGAAGCTCCACCCACCTGTATATAATATTTACTTTTAGAAATCAGTCGAATATGGTATGAACTTTAATTATGGCAGTTTGAATTGAATCTTCATATGTAGGATCATTACAGACTACAGCGTAGTTGTAAGCAGAGATATTAAGCACTTTTAATTCCACCTGTAATGGATCGCTAACTGATTTCAAAGACAATCCTCTATTGACATCAAAGCTTTATAATGTACATGATGTTAATTAGTTAGTTATGAAGAAAACGTCCCTGGGTGGGCTTGAACCACCAACCTTTCGGTTAACAGCCGAACGCGCTAACCGATTGCGCCACAGAGACCACTGTGAGCTTGTTTTGAGAGGGCGTGGCCTCAATTTTGAAGCCCCACCCACCTTACATTTACTGTCTACTTCTAGAAATCAGTCGAGTAATATGGTAGAAACTTTAATTATGGCATTTTTAATTGAGTCTTCATATGTAGTTTCAAATTACTAAATGGATCATTACAGATTTTAAGCATTTATTACTCCACCTGTTACGGATCCCTAACTGATTCTATAGATAATCCTCTATTGACAGTATAACCCTGCTGTAAACTCGATCATCTATCATATCTCTAAAATCCGTCGTAGTGGCAAAGAAAAGTTTACAGACTGGGAATCTTGTACCTTGGTATAGATTGTAACATGTATTATGTATAGTTTCTCTTCTTGAAAGCTTTACTTTTTGGGTCTTTTTCCTGAATTTTGAGTTATAATGCCGCTAACATAACAACATTGATGATGAGTCCTGTGGACATTGCAACACTGCCATAACCATTGTAGAGGAGCTCTTTTCCTGTAAGCCCTACTCTTCGTTATGGACACAAGCTTCGTATTTTACATGACGTTAATTGATTAATTATGAAGAAAACGTCCCTGGGTGGGCTTGAACCACCAACCTTTCGGTTAACAGCCGAACGCGCTAACCGATTGCGCCACAGAGACCGCTGTGATCAGCTGTTGAGGGGGCGTGGCCTTGATCTTTAAGCCCCACCCACCTGTAAAATGTTGACGAGAATATTTTTTGTTGTCTGGAAAAAAGCAAAAGCTGATTTATGTCGACACTGGTGGCGTGTATTTTTTCCAGCAATTGCAATCAAGCTTTCAACTGACGTGGGTAATCATTTCAGATACATGACCATACTGATGATGAACTCTGCTCTCGCTGTAACACTGCCTTCACAGTAGGGATGCACCGATCCACATTTTTTCACTTCCGATCCGATCCCGATACCTGAATTTGGATATCGGCCGATACCGATACTATTCCGATACCAGAGCTCTGTTTGCTTTAATATTATTATTATCATTATTGTTGATTTTATATGAGGCTGAAATAAACTCCTCTCAACAGGCAAGTATGATATGTACGTATGTATGCATGTATGTCCCAAAAGGCAACTTGAGGTAAGTATAAGGTCAGAAAAGGAAGTCAGAAAAACAGGAAATCCTGTCAAGGGTTTCAAATTTAAAATTTATTATCATGTCAATATTTGTTAAATTCTTGAAATAAAAGAAAAGTGCAATAAGTGTAAACATCTTACACACGCACACACACACACGAACACACACACACACACATGCATGCCGCCCACACACACACACACACGGTAATCCCTTTAGCTTTCAGGTTGTCTGCCTGGAGTTTAACTTGTTTTTGGAATGACTCTAGAAGTGATTCCTGACAGCTTGCCTAAAAAATCCTCGTGCTGTTTCGTGTGGTGCTTTTTAAAATGTTTGATTGTGTTCGTAGTGTTGTACGACGCAAGGGAGCTTCCGCATCTCTGAATTACGGCTTTGCAAACATTGCATTTTGCTGTCTTGCTCTGCGGTGTTTGCAGTGTAAAGTATTTCCACACAATGCTATCCTGCTAGCTGGCTGCAAACTGTGGAAGGGATTTCCTGAGCGGAGGCGTTTCTCATAACTCTGTGTCTCATTGAGCTGCGCCTCCGTTCGGAAATCCATTCCAAAGTTTGCAGCCAGCTAGCAGACTGGCCGGCAGGAATCACTTGTGGAGTCATTTCAGCAGACAACGTTAAAACGCAGACATGGCTCATGGATATCGGATATCTGCGCAGGTTGGATCGGGAAATTCCGATACGTGAATTACGCTGGTATCGGTCCCGATACCGATACTGGATCGGATTGGCCCCATCTCTACTTCACAGTTATACGTTTGCACTTTGTTTCTGAAGCCTTACCTCTCATTAAGGACACAAGCTTTATAATTTACATGATGTTAATTGATTAATTATGAAGAAAACGTCCCTGGGTGGGCTTGAACCACCAACCTTTCGGTTAACAGCCGAACGCGCTAACCGATTGCGCCACAGAGACCACTGTGATCAGTGGTTGAGGGGGCGTGGCCTATATCTCGAAGCCCCACCCACCTGTGTTTACTATTTTTGTCTAAAAGTCAGGCTGAATGATATGGTAGAAACTTTACTTATGGCATTTTGAATTGAGTATTCAAATGCAGTTAGCAATTACTAAATGGATCATTACAGACTACAGTGTAGTTGTAAGCAGAGATTTTAAGTGTTAAAAAGTGTTAAACTCCAATCCGATCTCAGCGTTTGGTCAAGACCAAGGCATTTTTTAACTAATCGGAATTGTTGAGCTTTATTGATCCGATCTGATCTTTTGTTTTACGTCAGTTATCACTCAGCTGTTTTTATACACAAAGCATTCATGCACGGTGCAGCCATCGCAAAAGATGTACAGATAACGGACATAAACACTCAACAGAATACAGACAGTTAATTCAGGTAACTCAGGTAAAGGCTGTATCGAAGCACCAAACACTGGAGAGAGAATCTCCCTCCAGGCAGCGACAAGGCCAAAAGGATTACAGAGGGTTTGTCAAGCATATACATTGGATTGATTTTAGCAACTTCAATGTACTTTACGTGTGCACTGTGGACTGGAGGCTATGATCTAAAAGAAATTACAAGTATCGAATCAGGACATCGGTATCCGCAGATGCTCAATATTAAATTACTCGGATTGGGGCTAAAACACCTTAATCAGGACGTCCCTATTTATTACTCCACCTGTTATGGATCTGTAACTGATTTTACAGATGATCTATTGACAGTTTAACAAGCTGTACACTCAATCATCATCTCTATAATCCACTGTACAGTGGCAAAGAAAGGTTAACAGACCAGAATGTAATTATTTAAATTCAATGTCTGAATCCTCTTTGGAAATGTGCATTATGTATAGTTTCTCTTCATAAATGTTTTACATTTTTGGTGTTTTTCCTGCCTTTCATACATTTAGAGCAATAATGCTGCTAATGCAGATTTCCTGATCTATTTATATATAATTTTTTTTTGACATCTGGAAAACGTGGACACTAATTTAAGCATACATAAAAGCTAATGGAGTGTGATTTTTTTATTAAACTGTCAATTTTACTCTGGGTATTGATGTTGATGAATGATCATCAATATATTCATTAAATGTTTATGAGATTATTTCTTGTTATCTGGAAAAAGCAAAAGCTGACTTATGTAGATACCCATGGTGGGTACTTTTAAAAGAAAAAAATTGCAACCAAACTTTCATTTTTTAAACAAGACCATAACAATACTGATGATGAGTTCTGTTCACATAACAAAACTGGCATCACAGACGTTTGATCTTTATTTTTTTAAGTCATAACCCTCATTATGGACGCCAGCTTACAGAGTTACATGATGTTACGATGAAGAAAACGTCCCTGGGTGGGCTTGAACCACCAACCTTTCGGTTAACAGCCGAACGCGCTAACCGATTGCGCCACAGAGACAACTGTGGAGTA